GTGGACCGACGATAAACTCGTCTTCTGAATCCTTGTTGGTGGAAATGAATCTCTCTTTTGTGTTTGTGTCGTAGCTGCAAGGAGACGATGACTAAACTGCACGTCACATCCCAGGGAACCATCGAGACTGAAGGTACAGGCCTGCTACAGGTAAGATCTGACCCACAGCGGAGACGAGCTCCAGATGTTTTAATCCAGAATCCATTTATATATAAATGTGTGTGTGTGTGTGTGTGTGCAGGTGGACTTTGCCTCCAGCTGGATAGGCGGAGGTGTTCTCGGCGATGGTCTGGTGCAGGAGGAGATCCTGTTCGTCATAAATCCAGAGCTGATCGTATCTCGCCTCTTCACGGAGAAACTCGGCGACAACGAGTGTCTGATCATTACAGGTACAGGTCATAATAAAGTCGATTAATTAAACAGTTATTAACAGAAATTAATCAATGGCAATCGAGCTGGAACCAGCAAACGTTTGACATTTTTGCTCGAAGAATGACGATTAATCGACCAATCGTTGCAGCTCTACGTAGAACCCGGGTAAAACCTGTTTGTACATACAGAGTTGCTGTGATTGGATAGTTCTGTTATCTAACCCTGATTGGTTGTTCGATTCAGTCCGTTTGTCACATTTTTTAAAGAACTAAACAATTAAACATTGTATTAAACATAAAAATTGCAGCTTTAAAGCTACAAGAAACTTTCATTTTGTGTTGATTCTGATTAGAAACACTACCACGTTTGTCGACAGGGGGCGCCACAATCAACACAAAATGAAACTTAACTTTTCCCACTACTGCTCCATTGTTGTCCCAAAAAGAGCACCAAATGTGGATTAATCCACCGCTGAAAATAGTCCCCAACCAATGATCTGAAACTGAATGAAACTGCATTTCTGTGAGGTGTTTTTTAAGATTTATGTCTTCAGTTGGAAACCAGTGAGCTCAGAGATTGTGTTTAATGTTTCATCACAGCAGCCTTACAGAACATGTGTGTGTTTCTCAGGCTGTCAGCAGTACAGCCATTACTCTGGTTTTAGTGACAGCTTTGAGTGGGTGAGACCGTATAACGAGCGCCTCAGCAGGTACGTTCATGTTTTTTCTCACGAATATGATTTTGTTGGTTTGTCCTATTTTTCCTGACTTGAATACAGGGTTTGTTTGTTGGCTGTTTAAATAAAAACTTGGTCTTTACAGAGACGAGTGGAAGCGGCTGCAGAGGCAGATCTTAGCCATCGATGCTCTGCACTTCAGAAACTGGAGGGAACAGTTCAGTATCAGCAAGGTGACCCGGGAACTCAACAAGGTGAGTTCTTCCTTTGTGTGAAAGCGACGGCGAGTAAAGACAAAGTTTATGAGCGGTTTAAGTTATCCTACGATTGTTTTTCAAAGGTACTTTAAGTTTCCGAAGAGCTGACAGCGTCTCACTTGCAGGATTTCTAAACCCCATAAACCTCGAACCTTGTATAGTTCTCATTTTTACATGATTTTATTGTGTCCCTGAAGGCATACTGTGGATTTAAGGGTCAGGGGAACAATGAGCCAGACATCGCCACAGGAAAGTGGGGCTGTGGAGCTTTCAACGGAGACCCACAACTCAAAGGTACTTCTTCAGTGTTTCCAATCCATTGATCCATCGATTGATTTCTAACACATGTTGCATTTAATTTGAGCTTTTCTTAATGTCCGTGTCCAGCTGTGATCCAGCTGATGGCGGCTGCAAAGGCAAAGAGAGGACTGGCCTACTTCACCTTTGAAGATGAAGAACTGAAGCACGGCCTGGAGCAGATTCACAGCCTGCTGGTCACAAGCGATACTACAGTCGGTGAGTGTTTGCAGGACAGAAAACTCCTCAGATTGTTGCTCGAGCTTCTAACGTTTTCCATTCGCTCCTCCGCAGGGAAACTGTTCCAACTACTGGAGGACTTCTGTGCTATTCAGGACATGTCGTCTACACGTGTGGATCTGTTTCAGTTCATCGGCGACAATGTCCGACCTTCCAGGAGTCAACTGTAAAGGACTAGAAATGAAGACGAACCTGCTTAAATAAAGATTATAATTCTTTGCATGCATTTTTACACTAAAGAGCTACAGCTGGAGTCGAAGCAGAGGATGTAGATTTGGTTGTGGGAGTGGACGTAGGCAGTTAAGGGTTATAATAAACTGTAATTTGTGTTCCTGGGTTGAATAGTTAAATTAATTTGAAAAATGTTTTTTGAGAATTTCAGTCTCTTCGACTAAACTGTGATAATTAAAGTGAACCAAGATCAAATGTTTGTAATAAGTAAATACGGTATGATTTACAGTGCTGATTTATCTACATATATACTGTATAACTGCTAATAAAAGATGACACAGCAGCAACGTTCAACTATAATCTTCATTTATTGAAAACAATAAACGTACAACACTGTATGAAAATAAATACATTCTTCCAATCTGAGGAGCTGAGGAATCCCATCGTGTCGTTACATACTGCTGTCGCTGGCATGATTTCTTTAAATGAAACACGGTGTGTAATTTCAAGTAATCTGTCACATTTGGCACAAACGGGGACGTTTACGGCGACCGCGGCAGGACAGCGAGTAAAACCACGGAGGAGGAAATAAATACAGATTTGGGAAGAATTGAAGCAGAATATGCGAAGAGAGGTGTGTTTATGTTAGATGAAGATACAGGGAGAGATAAACAACCCTTAAAGTCACTGAGAAATATCTGACACAGAAGGCGGACAGTGTTTTCAAAAGGTTTTGTCACTGCTAATATGTGGAGGCCAACTCAAATATAATATAAAGCCTTTTTATTCTTACTGCAACCATTCAGCTGTTGATCTGTTTTCACCAATCTCCGGTTGTACACGCTGCAGGGTTGCCAGGTCTCGTGTGGTCGCTGTAAATCCAGTTTAAAGGAACAGACATTTTGGGAAATACACTTTTAGCCACGACTGTGCAGTGGCCGAGGAAGACGAGACCACAGCAGATCAAAAATACATTGAAATGGTATTAAAGGTGGCGGTTTTAGCCACTATTAAAGCGGTTCTCCATCCTAAACTGAGTTATATGACTGAACTGTTATTGAAAAATCTGCATTTTGTGGGTTAAAAATGTCTCAACACGCCCTCTACTGTTTTAAATCTGCTGTATGTTTATATTGTGGCGCAGTGGTTCGGACTTTATGAGCTGTAGAAGCACCGGACTGCAATCTTTACCTTGAGCCGACACTGACACACACACACCGGAGAGTTTGCCTCTCTGAGCCGTTAGCTTAGCTACAAACAGGTAGCACGCAGAAACTTTTACCAACAGCGTGAATGTGCTTCTGTTTACAGTCTTTTTGCTAACAAACGGATCTCCTCTAACTCTCAGTAAGCTTATTTCCCCAAATGTCAAACTATTATGTGCATCATTGTTCTTCCTCTGGTTGTCCGAATTAATCTGCCATCGAATAAATGAATTCAAATATTTGTTCAGCAGGTGACGGATGCAGGATTTCAGCAGGATGTGCGGAGCGGAGCAGGGTGACATTATTTTATAATTAACTAAATAAAAGCAGATAAAAACGTGTTTGTCTTAAAAAATTAATAGTGTATAAATTCATACATTCAATGCTATAATAGTGTCCATCACTGTGAACATGAGGTCTTCACGGTAACAGTGTTAAAGTCATTGTGCGTCTTTTGAAGAATACGCCTGATAACAGGTCTGATATGTTCGTATATTTGAGGAAAGAAAACACATCAATGCAAAATGTAGGCGAAGGGTTAAAGCTCAACAGGCGGGTGTGTGACTGTTACAGTTTCCCTGAGAACGCCTCCAGGTCGAAGGCCGTGTCCAGTAGACGCTGCAGCTCCGTGAGGTGAGTCTGCTTGTTTCCAGTAGCTGGAGCTGCTGCAGGATCACGACCAGCATACCTGCAAACACACACACACACGTATGAGCACACACACACACTCACAGCGCAGGTGAAAGAGTCTTTGTGGGGAACTCACCAGACGGGGCGGGTGTGGTTGATGGTGGTGCGGATGCGGGGCTTGATGTAGTGGTAGTAGCCCTGGTTCTTGTGCTCTTCCTGACACCACACCAGGTCGGCGTTTAGGTAACGATCGGTCTCCGCTTTCACCAGATCGAACGGGAACGGTGAGAGCTGAACAGACAGAGAACAATCTGACGTTAATTATAAGAACTAAAAACTACAGGTCCCATAATATGTGAGCTTTGGGATGTAAACAGGAAGTATAACCAGTTAGCTGTTGGCTACAACTTGTTCTTTAACCTTTATTTGTTCATATTTTGGTAAACCGGCTCCATAAAAGTGTGCAGAATGAGCTGTTTGTTCCTGTTTGCAGTGGAACCACACATGGATTAAAGTTCTGGGGTATAAGGAGGCTTTTTTCTGTGATTTCGATGCAGATTTATGGATGTTTATTTGCTAAGATAATTGAATTTATTTAAATATATATTACGACTCATAAGGAGTCGTTGCTGCACACACACGTCCCATTCAACTTCAATTTATGAGCTTTATTGGCTTGAAGAGACGGAGCTTATTTTGCCAAAGCAAACAGATATTAACCGTTATAATAACAATAATCATAAATGTGGGAATGTGCACGTTTGTACAATCACAACGGCATTACAATACAAATATGACATTAACAAGCAAGTGAAGAACAAATAAAGAACAACAAGAGTCAGTATCAACATGAAAAGTATTTAATTCCCCGTCTGTCACCTGTTCGATGCGAACAACAGCCACAGTGTCGTCCATCGCTCTGTTCTTGCGTTCCCGGGTCAGCTCGTAGTAGATCTTGCCGGTGCAGAAAACGACTCTCTTCACCTTCTCCGGGCTGGCGGCTGCAGGCCCGTCGTCTGGGATTATACGCTTGAAGTGGGTGGCTGCAGGAAAACAAACACACCGTTACCGCCCAGCTCGTAAAGGGAAGCCACATAAAAACAGGTGATTAAATCAAAGTTATTAAGAGTTTATACTTCATGAAATAAATAAAAACCTGAAAGAAAAGCCTCACTATCAGTTGAAAACACTCTCAAACTCTCAGTAACACAAAGAGATTCTCTCCGTCCGCACTCACCTGGCAGCATGTCATCAAAGCTGGACTTGGCCTCCGGATGGCGCAACAGCGACTTGGGAGTAAACACTATGAGCTGGAGTTAAAGAGATAAAGAGAGAGAGAGAGCTCAGTGACCTGAAGCACATTATCTCCGTGTGCTGAGTCACGGTTTCACGGTGTGACACTTACAGGCTTCCTGAAGGGCTGCAGGATCTGTCGGCGGAGGACGTGGAAGTAGTTCGCAGGATTGGAGCAGTTGACGACGATCCAGTTACAGTCATACAGCTGACGCACCGCGAAGTCCTCCTCCAGTTTCTGACGGGGGAAGAAGGGATGAACATTAGAATATATAACATTAAAAGATCATTCAGTCTTATTATTCTGTGTCTTACTTCTGTTTAATCGGCTGTAAAGTTTCTATAATGCTTTAGAGGATGTAAACAGAAGTATGATGTTTTTTAGCCTGTATTTGTTTACATCAGTGGCTGCACTAACTATCACTGGATTACTGATACTGAAGGAAACCTAAAAGCACGTTTCAGTCTTTTTTTCTCTGATTGTTGAGCAGATGCACTAATGATCTCCTCAGGAAGGGAAACCATGTGTATCTTCTCTCTGTCTGTGACACACACTCACAGGGAAAACATCTGGGTCATCATTGCACATCTGTAGGAACCTTTCAGGTCGGGCAGACGAGTGCTCTGGTCCCTGCGAGGAAGAGGAAGAGGAAGAACATATATCGTTATCACTGATTACAAGGTGGCATTACAGCATCGTGTGGCAGATCGAACTACCTACCATCCCCTCCATGCCGTGAGGAAGCAGCAGCACGATGCCGTTCTGTCGGACCCACTTGGCCTGACCCGAGCTGATGAACTGGTCGATGATGCACTGAGCTGTGTTATTAAAGTCTCCGAACTGGGCCTCCCACAGGACCAGTGCGTTGGGACTCGCCATGGCGAAGCCTAATTCAAAACCTGCTCGCAGACGAGAGAGAGAGAGAGAGAGAGAGAGAGAGAGAGAGGACATGAGTGTTTGAGACGTCATTCAGTCGTCTCATTAAACACGTTTGTTTGGTTGGGGGTGTTAATCATTCAGCTGTTAAACTGGTTAGAAATATTTACTGCGATCTTCAATTTAAATTTCCTAACATTGAGATTTCTGTGTGGCCTTTAAAAAACATTGTGTGGAGTTAAAGCAGCGTCGTGTAGCTTTCAGGGTTCCCACTCTTTTCAATAAATCATAAACAGCGCTCACAAACGGTCATAGAAGCAGCAGTTTCAGACTACATTCATTTTGCCACAGCCCCTGAGGAACAAATCCAGTTCAAATCGAGTAGAATTCATTTTATTTTCCAGAAAATTCATCTGCTCTATAGTTAAAAGTGTTAATTACATGTACAATTAACATCACTGTGCAGGGAGAGAACAAAAAGACTCAAGTCCGTTCCACTTTGCATCATAGTAAAACCACTTTTAACGGTCACCCCAACAGTTAAACGAGTCTCTAAATGTCCAGGCTTTCTTAAACACCACTGTGTATGTGCTGCTCACCTAGCACTCCGTATTCAGACAGAGAGCTGTTGCACACAGTGTAAGGAGCCTGATCGGGGGAGATGTGGTTCATTGGGACGCAGATCCTCTTATCAACGTTCTGGTCGTGTAGAACATGGTGTCGATGGCTGTAAAGAGAGCAGAATAATACTTCAATAACATTTATGCAACGGACCAATAAATCCTCACAAAAGGAAAATACACAAACTCCTAAAAACAGAAAAGGTAAAGTTTCGGTTTCCTGTATGTGTTACCTGAATGTGCCCCTCTCCACATCCTGTCCACTGAGGCGAACATGGATCCCGTCTTTGAGCAGCGAGCCAAAGGCCATGTACTCCCCCAGAGCCCAGTCACACACCCGCTGGTTCACCATGTTCGCACGACCCTTCAGGATACGACTCAAACCTACAGCATGGAGGCAGGAACACAGGTTTGACCCTTTAAACTCATTTCCTGGAGTGTCTTCAAAATGCTTCATATCCCTAAAATCTGTACAACCTGAGCTAAAAGGTGTCATGATCCGCTCCTGGCTT